CTGACTGGTGTCAGGAAACATGGCTGGTCTGAGCGTTTGTACATAGCTTGGTCACTGTCAATGTGTTATTGCTTTCTTCCTCAGACATTCTTGAGCTCATGTGGCCTGATGTGGCCTGCTGTGGCCCTCAGCTGGTGCTTCAGGGCCCTCTGAACATTGGTTATGTCCTCCCTCCGATCCTGAGTTGCTGTTCAGTACAATGGTCAATTGGCCTGTGATCAAATGTATGAAATGTAAGATACACTCAGTATATAGAATAGGTGGTATATGTGTATGGATGAATGAGAGAGAGAGAATTCAAATTAATATATACCTTGAGATGGTTAGATAACATTTGTAGGACCCTAATTAAAAACACACAATTCAAAGGTGGTTAATTAACATTTGAAGCCCTTAATCAAGGATTCATACTTCAGAGCTTTTATATAAGCTCGTTATACATTACTAAAACTATAAAATGAAAGGCTCATAATTAATATGATAAACATTTTATTTTTATTTTGGGGAAATAAGTGATGTTCATGATATGTAGATGTCTATGAAGATTGTATACTACATTCATCACATCTCTCTTGATCTCTTTCTTAACCAAAGACTCTTTATCCAAGTAGAAGCCTGGTTGATCCTGCCATCAATTTATCATTTTAGCTGCCTTAGAATGAACTGAAAGTTTCAAGGTGCTTGCATAAGTGCCTAGAAAAGAACAAGCATCAATGTTATGGAATACGTTACATAGTTAGTTTTGTACTGCTTGGTAATAATATTTTCATGCTTATCAGAATCCAGTCTGAGACTTACTTTTATTATAATATGTTGGCGAGATTGGGAAGGTTGTATACATCCACTATCTGTCCTAGTAGTCAGAAACCACCAGTATTTACTAAAATAACCTAACAATGTTTGACTGTAAACATTTTTTAAGGTTAATTTGAGGCTACAACCACTTTGATAGACATTACCATGAGTATCACTGAAATATTTCACTAACAAATGAAACATTAATTTTATAGATTTCAGCATTGAAAACACATCATACATTAAAAAGAAAAGGTATATTAAAAGGCAAGTAATATAAGATAACTATTTGCAGAGTAACTAAACCTTTGATTAGAAGTTTAAAATATGATAAATATACAAATATACCTTTTATACTTAAAAACATTACTTTATTCAAAATATATTAGTGCATTAATACATATTTAACTAATTACTATTCCATATTGATTAAATACCACTCGATAATCATAAAGCTTTTAAGTAGATTTGCAATTCAATGATTATGTAGAATATTTCATGTACCTTTCTTTTTTGGTATCCTCACAAATTCAAAATGTGTACACATTAATTGTGTCTGACCCTGTTGATTGCAAACTAAATATCTACATTTTATTACCAAAGTCCCCATTTTGTTTAAGGTAACAAAGTGACCAATTGGAAAACTACATTTCTCAGCCTCCTCTGTGGGTTAATTATAGCTAATGAATTTTCTGGAAAAAATAAGCTGAGATTTCTGGAAAAAATAAGCATCCCTTAATTCTATCTGTTGCTTATTTATCCCTGTATTTAGTCTGGCATGTGTGGCAAACATTAAGTCATAAGCACACTACTTGGACCCATAAGGTGACTTGCTGAAGATGGTGAAGTAGAATGGGAGGAGGAACTTGAGACATCACTGACCCCATAGAGCCGTTGTTGTAGGTCTGGGATGTTTACCTTTGTCAGGCTATTTCCTTATGTGAGGAGTCACTGGAGATCACATTTCTATTACCTGTAGCAAAACACAATTCCAAACTGTTCTCAATTATGATACTTACATGCTTTTCACTGTGCTTGCCCAAACAAGACCAATAATCACTCATTATTTATTAAAAATATTTCCAATACAATACAATTTTACATATATTTATTTTAAATTTTTATAAGACAACAAACAAGCTTTCATTAGTATGTAGACAGATTGCAAAAGGTAATAGTACAAGTTTTGTCCTCTGAGAATCTGTTAACAATTTTTAATAAATTCACATTTCCTGGGTGGAGAAGAGATTAGTCATATCTGATTAGTCTCAGTTTATATATTGAACATCTGTGTTTATTTTGTATGGATACTCCAACTATGGATAATACTGATGATGATGATGATAAATAAATATCTGTAAACATTGATATCAGATACATAGTGCTTTGACATGTTATATAACTTTACTCTTACAATAATAACATATTGATTACCACAATTTTTAAAATTAAAGTAATTGAAGCTAAGAGAAGTCAATGACTTACTAAATATGGCTAATATGTTTAGTAGTCAGGATTCATATATTCCTCATTATTCTAAATTGATGCCAATTTTGAATTTAGACCATTTTTTTTTTAGTTACTTGTGTTATGGTTCTGGGAAGATTATGAAAGAGTAGGTCAAATGAGCTGATAATAATGAAGGTAAAACTAGGTTATAATATGAAGACAGCAAATAGAGTTAATTTACCATTAGGTGTCAATGTGTTTCACCTCACTCCGTTGAAACCTGTTTCTATAGATATATTGAAAGATCTGGTTATCTCTCCAGACTTTAAAAATGTAAACTCCACCCTAAAAATGTAAACTCAAATTTTCCACCTTCTTGCTCCATTTTATTTTTATGAAGACAAAATGATCCTTTCCCTCATTGAGATCATTAACCTTATAACCAAATTCTTTCTATGCCAGGCTGTCAATTCCTTCTTTCCATTACTCCCTTACCAAGGCCAAAAACCTCATGACATTCTTGAAAAGACTCTTAACCTTTTCTCTTTTAGACCTCTGAGCCTTAAAAATTTAATTGCTGATCAGGACAACCTACATTGCCTTTTCTCTTCTACACACTACCATTCCCAATAAAACATTGTCCGAAAAAAAAAATAATTAACAAGCAACACTTAAGATTTTGTGAAACCAGTTCTATTTTATGGTTTTATGAAATATCTGAAATTTGAAATGTCAACTGAGTACAGGCTTGTTTGTTCCTGATTATTGTTGTCTTGAACTAAATCAGATTAAGCTATTTCCAAGTATTTCTACTATCTTAAAGTTCAGGGCCCTTCCCTGTGCTACTGCTCTGCCTCCATGACTTTCAGCAAATTACTTTTCCTTCATATTTAAAGAAAAAATAGAGAAATAGGGATCTAATCACATTCCTTGCCCCATACCTGTATGTTTATGTACCTTCCTTCTCATCCTTGCCTAGTTTTACTTTCCTCAGTGGAAATTGCAAGTGATCCCTCCTTCAGAATTGAATCCATCTCACTTTTTGGTCTCAGGAGCCCCACTCTGTTAATGGCCACCTGTTATTCTTGGACATTTACTTTAAAAATATACACATACACACATGTTTGCCAAAATAAATTCTGAGGATATATATATATATATATATATATATATATATATATATATATATAATGTGTGTGTGTATATATATATAATGCATATATATACACATATATAATGTGTATATATTAATAATTTTAAAATCAGTGTTCATTAGCATACAGGTCATTTTCAAAATTAAGTGAGCTATCAGCTGTTAAAGTTTGTATACACTTTTTAGGATGCCCTATATATGCTAGTACATACATATACACAGATTTTAGAGAGAGAGAGAGAGAGAGAGAGAGAGAGAGAGAGAGAGAGAGTCAGGTCACCACTTCCCATTTATATTTAAATGTAATGGAATATTTTGGTTATTATCACCTCACTGGAACATCTCTAGGAAAGGTTGTTATTACTGTCACACCTTCAGAATTCTATACACCAGTTTCAATTTGTTCTATCCTTTTTCTTTGGTACTTAGTAGAATATGGCATAGCTAATGACCCTCTCCATCTTAACGCTCTCTGATTTCCATGGCTGTCATGATACCCACTTTTCTAGTTCCTCTCATCTTTGGTTGCTTTAGAGTTAGGGGGGAAATCTACTCTTCTGCAATTCCTGGATAAGTCATCATTTTCTCATAATTACCCCTGCCATTAGTACTATTTCCAAAATCTCCTTCATATATAATTCCTCTCACTCCAATGCATGTTATCCACATTAGTATAAGGCCACCCTACTCTTACCAAGATTCTTATACTAGCATCCTAAATTATTGTCTTAAAATTTTTATTCTTGATACCCACTTTCCAAAATACCATACATGATTATTCTATAAAGTGGTATCTACTATGTATTGATAAAATAATAAAAGCTGTGGTAAAAACAAACAAACAAACAAGAACACTTAAGCTGAAATAGTTCTTTTTGATCAGGTCCTGAGAAATTTTTTCTAGTATTATTTACAGAAGCTTTTCCCTTGAAGCTTTGGTTTCAGATATGCACAATGACATGCAATTTTCAGAATGTGTTATTCTCTGGCAAACATGGTTCTCTTCCTGGACTGCTTGTCTTCTGCTCTGCCAATCAGGTTAATCTTCACTCCTTCCATTGTTAGCTCAAAATCTCCTTCTTCTAGGAAGGCTCATTCTAAAGGAGAGTTAAACCCTCTTTCATAGCCCATACAGATTGATATTTCAGTTAATCACACTGCATTGTAATTTTCTAACAATATTAATAAAAGCTAACATTTGGGTGCTATTTCATGCAAACATGCAAACATTCATTTTTTTAAAATAACAACTATGAGAGATAGGTTTGTTAATATCCTAGTATATACTAGTACAAATAAGAAAACTGAAGCACATGAAAGATTGAGTTGCACAAAGTCTCTTATCTACTGCATGGCATAGGCAGAACACTGCATGTATAAAATTTATTCCATTTTCATGTTTCTCAATAAAAAACTCAACACCAAACACAAGGAGATACTCATAGCAAATTCCTAATATGTGTATTGAATGTTGAATGAGATAAAGGAAATACACCGATAAACACAAAGCATACAAATAATTCAGTTAAGTACTTATTGATATTGCTTCATTATGTCTGCTTAATTACTGGTCACAGGAGAGGCATAAAGAATCAAAACTTATGCCAGGCTGGTGTATTCAGTGGTTGAATGTCGACCTATGAACCAGGAGGTCACGGTTCATTTCCTGGTCAGGTCACATGCCGGGATTACAGGCCCGATCCCCAGTAGGTGGTGCTCAGGAGGCAGATAGCCAATGATTATCTCTCATCATTGATGTGTCTATCTCTCTCTCCCTCTCCCTTACTCTCTGAAATCAATAAAACTATATTTTAAAAAAGAATTAAAGTTTAAAAGCCTCTGTACACAATTGCATGTGGTATATTCAACATTTTTTCCTTATGTGAGAAAGAATTTAATTTACAGACAATTGCTTAATTTAGTTTTGTACGCCTAAAAAATCAGGAAGCCAAAGAATTGAGCAAAAATTTAGAGACAGTCGATGTAGTCATAAAATGAAATTCTATTATTTCCCTTCCATAATTCTTTTATCATTCTTTTAACTTCTTAGTTTTGTGATAGCACAACCCTTAATCATTTTAATGCTTTGGGTAGATACTTTAAGTACACAATCATAAATCATTGAGCAGAGGGTAAAGACAGAATGCTCTGTTTGTAAGTTTGCTTTTGCCAGTGTCATATTTAATGAGAAGATTCTTCTATGTGTTTGATGTGAGAACAAAGATTCTGATGGAAACATGAGCAACCTCCGTTTCAGTTAAGTTATCCCACATCAAAAAAGCATATGCATTAGATAAAGCATATTTAAATCTACTTTTTCAAAATATTTTAAAAATAGTTTTTCCTAAATAAAATTTAAAAACTTGTATCAGCTCTTGTAAACTATGATTGTTTTGTGAAAAGACACATTGTTTCCCTTCAGATTCCTTACCAAGCTTGCCTCATACTTACAATGTTAAATGATTGCTTTATTCATCTTCTCCATTTTTTTTTAAATGCTACTATCTTTCCATCTCATATCCTACCTTTTGTGAATTGTTATTGTGCAACTACTACAAACCAAGCATGCTGGGACCCAAACATAGGTGATCAATATAAATCAATCAGTCCATCCATTTGTGTCAAGAGAAACCACATTCAGATCATATGTGGAAACTATCATGAGGTCCTAAACTTTGGAGCTCATGTGATCACTAAATGGGCCTTCTGAATTATCCACCAAGGGGAAAAATCAGTATTTTCTGTGTTTATAAGAGAAACTAAATATTTGAATGAGGACAGAGTCTGTTAGATGATATCATCAAAGATTCCCTTCTGCTTTATATCAGCCCTATCCTTGTGGGAGTATTATACTTCCTATTGAACTCAGGTTGGTCATGTGATTAACTTTTACCAATGAAATGTGAGTGTGGATGACATGTGCCACTTCTAAGCAAGAGATATACACGCCATTATGAGATTCTGCTATCTCTATTTTTCCATGCGTCATGTGTGTGGATAATCACAGACAGAGGTTGCTTCTTTAGCTTGAGTTCAGAAATGAAGACTTGGAACAAAGTCAAATTCAGCCAGTAAGGGACATTAACATGAGTGAAAAATAAATATTTATTTTTTTAAGCTAATGAGTTGTTGAGTTGTCATTGTATTAGCCTAAGCTAGATGATAAATAAAACAAAACACATTGTCTGTGCCATCATAAAACTTACAGTTTCTTAGAATCACTGCCACAAATATAAAATTGCTACTGAGAAAAGTATTACAAAGAAAAACAGTGTAAGAGACTTTATTAAAGGAATTCGCACTAATAGTTGATGTCAGAGCAGAACTTCCTTTCAATCCTGCCCGGGTAGCACGCCTGGGATGACTCAGGC